GCAGTCGCGCTTGCACGTGCCTCCTTTGTCTTGGCCTAATGCCCGCCCTTTGAAGGTCGCTTGTAGCTGCATGAACTGGTCGACTGTAAGGTCCCTTTGTTCTGGTAACCTCAGGATTGCCCGAGAGATAACTGGCGTCTGGGCCGTCCCAAAAAATAAGAAGTCGATCTAGAATAGAGTTTTCTACTGACGATGAGTATCAGCATTAGTATATTTGAGGGGTATGTAGGTGGGTTGCCTTTGAGTAGATTAACTCTCACAATTTGGAATGCTTAATGATGTTTCTCGAAAATACTGAGTATTTAGAAAGAATGTGCGTCCTAAGGGGATAAGAAGGATCTAACGCACTCAAGTGGGAACTCCATGTGAAGTTGGCCTCCCATTTGGCCCAACTTTCGAAAGCAGAGTTTTATAGTGAAGCAATGCCTGCTACCTCAAAAGCGTATTATGTTAGATTTGAACCGATACCGCCCGAAAAGATAAGTTGAGGGCCAATCATGCCGATCTTTACGACAGTTACTTTGGAAATCGATCAAACCGAGGGAAGCTCTCATAGAAAAGGATTCGATCTAGAATGTGGTTAGCCTTGTCCGTGAGTGTAGTACCTGCCAATATTTTAAATAATTAGTGTTTTATCTTGAAACTTTCGAATTCACGAGACAATAATCAAACGCCACGAGACTACCAGAATTTGATGAGTTCATGCAATTTCGTGATGTCTTATTTAACTACATATGGTAGTTGCCTATTAATTAGATAAAATAAACTGTCTCAATTAATCACGGATCCAGAAAGCTGAAATACCCGTTTGCGTAAACCCTTGGTGTGTGATATGTGATCCAAAGGTCTTCCCTCGCGTGCACTTGGTCGACAGCAGTCACGTGTGTCTTTCGGTGACAAACTCACGCGTACTCTTCACTCCCCTTTCTTTTCTACGAATGGGCGGTAAAGACAGACTTCGTTTCATGCCACATCGATATGCATCTATTCTTTTACCTGTTCCTGTGGAGCGGGATATATTGGCCGAACAATGCGACGTCTAGAGAAGAGAATACGCCAGCACAGACCAGGCTGGCTCAGCAAAGGGGGGAATAGACCGATCTCAAGCTCAATCCTCACCCACCTAATTGATACGAACCATCAAGTTGACGCGAGAGAAGCCTTTCGTGTCATATACGGCATGCCAACACACTACTCCAAAGGTCTGCGCAAATGGGTGTTAGGCACACCAGAGGCAGTGGCAATCCGGTTAGCATAACCCACTTTATGCTGTCAAAAAGACAAAGGCCGCACGACAGAGACTAACTGAGATCATACCTACCAATCACGTCTCACTCCATATAAGTATTGATTTTTTCATCAGTTTTGACACTTTAGTTGTTCATTGCACTTTTCCTGTTAGTCCGAAGACGAGTTGGGGCGCCAAACTCGAAAAATCGTTCATTTAAGTATCCTTTTATCCCAAAGAAAATCCTCAAATTAAAATCTATTAGGGATGTCTGTGTTCCAGTTTATACGAAAGAATCGTTAAAGTTAACTAAAACACCAAAATGTGCCAATTAAACAGATGCCTACCTATACAAAACATGCCCATCTATTTCAAATTAGGAGCTGTCTTACATTACAAAATATCTGTGTACATACACATAAGATCGTCACTGAATGAAATAAACTCAAATGAAACCAACCTAGCTCGTAAATTTGTGTAAATAGACCCAGTTAGAAACTTCTTCATAGGGCATTCAATAAAAATGGAAGACCTCAACCTAGGGTTCCTATCCATTTAAATGTTCTTGATGCAGGAGGCTTTGACCGATTATAATTCATGTGCTTCAAGGCGCAGTTGTGTTTCTATCGCAGGGTTTAATATAACAGAAAATACCCCGCTCGCTGCGATCTTCAAGTCCGGTTCCTCATGGAAACAGAGAAAAGTGGACTGACAGGTAGAAAGAATAGTATATTCTGTACAGAGATAGTGGAAAATAGGCTGAAGGCTTTTGCCTGCTAAATGAGCGTGCGTCCACACCCAAGGAGGGGGTGTCAGTGTCTGAAGTGCGAATCAGCCCTGAAGGTGATTTCCCAGACCGGATGTGAATAGGCAGACACGGATGCATGCGTATGTGCTTGCAGCCGAGAGGGTCGCGAGTTGCGCGCGGAGTGGAGTCATTACAAATCAGCTAATCTAGGCCCAACTAGCAAATAACGGTTCAAAGGCAATTGGAAATGTGTGGGCGCTCAGGCTTTTTGACGTTTTGGCTGACTAGGTTACCCTTAGTCTCAGAGCGCTTTAAATTGGCTTCACAGTATACACTTTAACACGATACAGATGGTCCGTGGAGGGTATCACAGTGGCTTACGTCAGTAAGTAAACGTTTGCCACTGCGATTTTCAAACCCGGGTCCATGTGGGAAGAGAAAAAAGTGAGACACCCGATGAGAGAATAGTGTATTCTGTACAGAGGTAATGGAGAAAAGGTTGGAGGAAGTTGACAGTCGGACGAGTGCGCAACCACCCACGAGCAGGCTGGTGTCCAACGTGTGAGAGCGCAGTGAGATGGTTGACCAGACTGGATTGTGGCAGACAGGCCCTGTCGCTTGCTGATTTGCTAGCAGCCGCGATAGGTAGAGCGTTGGGTGGGGAATTAGGTCACTACGGGGTCACAAGTATCTCATCAAACTAAAGTTAATCAGTGCCTAGATTAAGTGCCAATGACCCGTCTGCTAGAATCCGCCTGTTACCATCTGCGTCCTAGCTGGTGGTCAGAGTGAAGGTGGGCTGAATAAAGGCACAATAAGCACAAAATTGTGTGGTCTTACCTTATCCGCTGTCTTCGCTGTCTCGTTTTCATCTATGCTTGCACGTTCTTGTCTGAATTCGATTTTGGAGACCGCGGAGCCGAGCGAGTGCCGAGAAGCCCCACCTACGGGCACTTCAGGTAACAATCGAGCCTTTAGTAGAAGATGTGTTTCGATTTAAGAGTTTCCGCTTAGTTGCCGAGTTGTCGATGCGTGCCTGCGTGCGTGTTTTTGTCTGCCACTGAGCATTGCTCTTCGGTAGCCTGCAGCCAATCAGTGAACTGTTTCGCAAGACAAGCGTA